ACCAACAAATTAATATTTACTTTGTTTTCATCAGTTGCGCAAACGGAACGTTGCCCTGATTTAGCTCAGGCCCTACGAAAACTACGTTGAGCTTTTTGGTGGTTGGATTTATATGTAGGAAAAAAATTTCCCACTTATGTATGGCGTCAACTTCGAATTCAATTTCAGCACCTGTTTTAGAAAAAAACGTATGGAAATAAAATCAACTCCCGAAATACATTATTAGCAGGGAACGGATTTTATGGAAATTGCCTTTTTTTCTGCTAAAGAGATAGAGTATATTCGATTAAGAATGTCCACGATTTAGCTTTCCCTGATTCCATATATACACATTTGATGTTGCCTTTTTTGCCTTTTTTAAGATATTTGCCTTTTTTTTGCCTTTTTTAAGATATTTGCCTTTTTTTGCCTTTTCTACCTTTAAAAAAGTGATTATAGCATTTACAATTTTTTTTGTTAAGATTAAAAAATATACACATGCCCATGCGGCTTATAGAAGCGCAGGGCACTCTTGCCAAATTCGTGTTGAAAAAATTCAAAGCCGTTTTCTCAGCTAACGTAGGCTTGAAGACAATAAGGGGTGTGGATAAAATTGTAAAGAGCGAGGAAAACGCCCTTATTCCTGATAACATGAACGTTTTAAACGTTCCATATTTAAATTGGGCTCCACTTGTATCAACTTACGTCGAGCGCACATTTAGTACATTCAAGGCTTTTCTTCGCGAAAATCGAATGAAAATGCTGCCAGAAAACTTCAAAATGCATCTTGTGGTTCAATGTTACTACAACTATACAGATTAAAGTTTTTTGAGTTAGAAACTCGAAAGGATAAAATAGTCAAAGATTCAAAGTACAAATTTTTCATATAATGAAACTAGTTCATAGTTTTTCCCTTTTTACTTGTAATATAAACATTTCTAAAAAAATATATTTTTTGATTGTTCTTCGTATTTTCTGTATTTTTTTAGTGCCTTATTTTGCTTTTTTTGTAATATCTTTTTTTTGCCTTTTCCTGCCTTTTTCGCTATTTTATTTTGCCTTTTTTTGCCATTTTTACAATACCTAGTGCCTTTTCCTGCCTTTTTCGCTATTTTTTTTGCCTTTCCAGCCTATTTCGTTACTTTATTTTGCCTTTTTTATAGGTTTTTAGGTCCTAAAAATCCGTTCCCTGATTATTAGTCATAAAGGGCATTCGAAGGGTTAAAATATAGACAAACTATTTGCAGAGGTCACAAAGCTCGTCAAATAAGTTATCTAAATTGCAGTTAATAATAGGAACTGTTTTCTAAAGTAGGGTTGTTGCGAATGTGGAATTTTAGACATAGTATTTTTAAGAAATAATTTAGGTAAGGACATCAGGTCAATTAAAAATTGGAAAAGGTAGTAGTTTTTAATAATGTTTATTTTATTTATTACTTTAATTTAAATACTGGAGCAATATATTTAATATAAATAAATGTTACTGCCTTTTTCGATTCCAGCGTGTTTCTAAAGTATATTTATACTTTTTTTAATTGTGGTACAAGAATAAATCTTTTTTGAAAATAGCATCGTGGCTGTGGTGTAGTGGTTAGCAGTGCGCGCTACCATAGACGCTGGGCACTTTCTAAATTTTAGACTTACAAATCCGTCCATGTTATTTCACATTCAATTGGGAAATAACACAAATTTTCGTTATTGCCATTTGTGTTATTTCAACTGCCTATCTTACGACAATCAAATTTCACAGGAGACCCAAAAACTGCATCGTAATTTTTTTTGCTTAAAAAATACATTAGTGATGGGTTTAAAGCATCTGTTTGGATACTAATTACTCGTATACGTACCCGTACTAATTATTAGTATTTAGAGATTCTTAATAAGGTGGTTAAATACTCAAGTATAAAACCTAGGTATTTAAGGGGTGCTAGTACTAAAGTAAATAGAATTAAAGTATTTAGAAGATGGTAAATTCTAAATGCTTAAGTAGATTTCTAAATACTTAACAGTTCAAGGAAACTATAATTGGACATTTTTCCTTTTTTATTTTAGCGATTGACACTATACATATATAATGAAATGCTCCGTAATTTTTAAGGACTTCCAGACTTTCTCCAGTTTTTACGGGCCTCTTTTTGATTTACTTTTGGGGTTGTTTTTGGAACTTTGGGGTTTTTCAAGACTTCTGAGGGTTATTGGTGTTATATTTTTCGGGATCTTTCAGGTTTTTAATGGAGTTTTCGGGACTTTTCATACCCACCTATCAGATGTACCGTCATTTCTTCCGCTTTCTTTAAATGGCCGCATAATTTTAAAGCATACCAAGCGGTAAGGGGACACGTTGAAATCTGACTGAGGGCGGCAAACTCGCAAGGATCGAGCACAGCTGCTACAAAAATATCGTATTAATAAAATTACAACAACAAA